GTGACGTCAAAAGATAAGGGCCCTTTTCTCATGACGGCAGTCATATATATATATATATATATATATATATATATATATATATATATATATATATATATATATATATATATAATCTTTTACAGCTTCTACAGCATTTGAGATTGTTCATTATTTAATCATTATATTTTAATATTATTCTATTGAAATTTCAATTTGTAGTTTTCATAAATCACACCAAGTCAGCATTAGCGTCCAACACGAGCCAGTATCCTTGTCTTTCCGAAACTTTCGAATTAACCGAACCATCGAAAGTATCGACCGACTCTACACCCGCTACACAAACTTCTGAAGGCTCATCAACTTTGCAATCTTTAGAAAGCACAACAATCTCTATCTCACCTACTTATGAAACGACAACATTTCGTCAAACTCAAGAAGACACAGCAATGGTTACCGTAACTTCAGAAGTTGACACAAGAACGGTTACCGAAATACAGTCTACATCCAATACATATTCACTAACACAAACTGGCACAACCGTTTCGCAAATTTCAAATTCCAAAACAACGGAGGTTTATTCTGAATGTTGTTATATCTGCTCTAGTAATCAAGATAATATCACAACACAAGTTCTGAAGCAGAAAGTGATAAACATTAAAAGAATACTTACTGTAAACATAACTTTCCTGTCGTCAACAGTAAGGAAGAAAACTTCTGCACCCGACGATAGACGGTCCTCGTTAGCTATGGGAACTCTTGGTATATGTGTCATTATTGGTATAATTCTTGCAATAATCAGTGGTGACCTGGTTTATGTCGTGTCGTTTGTTAAATTTATATGTCCATGTCTACTGCATAACAAGAAAAGGATGACAATTGTTCATGATTGATACCCTATCTTGAAATTGCAAGGAAAAATGTATTAATGTTATCATTTGTTTCGATAATTCAAGTTTGTTGTAAAATCCGAATATCAAGTGGTAAGGCTCAACTGGTTTCGTATCAATAGATGTCATAAACAGCTGGTTTATCTGTTTGTTGTTGTGGTTTTATTTACGTTTATACTTGCTTACCTGTATAAATTTTATTAAAGTATATAGTTTTATTAAGCTTTGTTTTGTTCTCATTGTTCATTTGTCTATTGAACTGCATCACTTAATATATATACGTATATAATCATAATTCTCAGTATTTTATCTTAATCTTTCTAGTTGTTAATTTTGTCATTTCAAAGTGATTTTGGCATAATTATTCATTATATATGAAGCAGAATTTGTCCAAAATCTTATACGTGATAAGAAGAAAACACTTGCGTATTGTCAATTAACAATTGTTATTTCCATTCTTATGTCGATACGATATATCCCGGTGAGCTTGAGATAAAAGATACTACAGAGTCTGACACATCTGTTTCATATTTGGATATTTTACTTGAAAAAGACGTTAATGGTAATCTAACAACCAAGCTTTATGATAAACGTGATGACTTTAACTTTTCAATCGTCAACTTCCCTTACTTATGCAGCAATATACCTTCATCACCTGCATACGAGGTTTATAACTCTCAGTTGATTCGATACACAAGAGCATTGCTCTATGTATGTACAATTTCTAAAACGAGGTAAATTATTGACAAACAAGTTATGAAACAAGAACATCAGCAGTCTCGTTTAAAGTCATCATTTCGTAAGTTCTATGGTCGATACAATGACCTTGTCAGCAATTACAATTTATCATTGAGTCAAATGCTGACTGACGTTTTTCATACTAATTGTTAGGCCATTATTTACACACTGAATTGTGGACGGATTTTTCCGTTATTTCCCGATCATGACAAGGAGCACACGGCGGTTGTGACCGGTCGGCAGGGGATGCTCGCTCCTCCATGGCACCTGATCCCACCTCTGATATTTTGGAGGTCCGTGTTTGCTCTGCACCTATTTTGTAATGTTTAATGGACTTTTGAGCTTGAATACTGTTCGTTATCTCCATTTATTTCATGTACACAAGTACTAACGAACATTAGCATAAACTTCGAATAATACTAGTAAACATTGACTACTTCAGTTAGCTGTTATTTAAAAAGAGGGATTTCAGTGACATTTTACCGTAGAACTCCAAACAAAAAGCTTGTAAAACCCTCAATGACCCCCTTAACGCGAGTGTCTACTTACATGCAATTAAAGGATTTGACAAGGTTCTTTTGCTTTATTTTTCACACTGAAATGAAGTTTTGACATGCTTAAGATGAAACGTCCATTAACGAAAATAGAGAAATTCTATATTTTCTTTATCTAGAAATGATCCTCATATTTGCAAGTTTTCTTTTTCACCATGGATTTTTGTTTCAGTGTGTACAAGTATCACAATTTTTTACTGAGAATGCATTGTTCTGTCCATTGAATAGATATTGTGAATGTATTTGCCAGGTTAGAAAAGGGAATTTGAAACAATTTTTATGAATAGGAGAAATAAAATGTATATAAATTCACATGATTATAAATACTTCTTTTATTTCATAATCGATCTTTTTGTTTGTTCATTTAAACTGGACTGCCTTCTTTAAAAATTTACTAACTTATTATGAAGGGGAAAAAATTAATAGCTATGTCTTCATGAAGACTTCATTCATTGATTAAAGCGAGTAGGTAGGATTCTATTATTATAATTCATTTTTAAAAATTATTTTCAGTTACTTATATCCAAAGATTTTCATTAATTCCAATACTTTCTTTTCAGTTTCGATTCTAAATGGATTTTAATTTGATGTTGTTTTTTTTTAAACTATGCTACGTTTTATTGAAAATAAATCAAAACTGCTGTAAGAGTAGGGTTTCAAAGATTTATTCTTTTTTAGTAGCCATCAACAAATCTTAAACTAAAAAGTATTAGCTCTGGTATGATTGTTGAAAGCAGACCAACACTGTACGAGGTGTAGAGTTTTGAAAAAAAATCAATGAATATTCTACTTTAGTAATCATGAAGAAACTGTTCATCAAAGTAAAAAAAGAGATATTGGGAATTGCGAATATTGGTGTAACATACTTCTGTGCCAAGATTTATTGAAAAAAGAACGAATGACCGAAAACCTTACCATCGTGTACGCTCTTCCAGCCTTCTACATGTAAGCAAAAATAAAAGTTATGTATCAATTAAGTTGGGCATAAAGTGTACTCATTTTCAAGAAAATTCCTCGACCAAAATTCTTTTCAATTTTATAGAAATTCCATATCATCGAATTTCGGTGTAAATTAGCCTGCACGAAATTTATTCAAGATGTATAAAATACTGATTGTGATTTTTCCCCTACCGGATATTAACCATTCAATACAATATCGATTCATATCGTTTTCTTATATTTCATACTAGGCTCAGCACCATAATACCTTCATTTTGAGCACATATCATTACATTATAACACTGAATAAATTTAAATAAAAAAACAGCATCATATTGTATCACATCGTGTTTTATTAAATTTAATTATCTGTAAGGATGCATGCTGAAAATGTTATTTTCCATAATCCATGCAGTGACTTAAATAAAATGAAAATATATATCAGTTTCAGACCGTAGTCGAGTTAAAGGCAGAATTCTTTCACTAACAAAAAATCTGAGGTTATTCGACAGACACTGAAGGTATGTTAAATGAGAAATATTTAGAATTTAATTCACTAAAGAAACTAAAAGTAGAATATGATATTTGTGTGCATCTGAAAGACAATGACAATTTGTGATTATGAATTAAATAATCATGATTATTTTTAAAAATTTTATTTGTATTTTTGCTTCCTAAAAGGCGCTGTTAAATGAGTTTTCCATATAATGTTATTGTATTCTTGCTTTCCCTATATTTTATTATTATTATTGTATCATTTTGGCGATCAATTAAGGAAACTACCTGTCTAGAAAGGGAAAAAACTATCAAATTATGATTTAAAACACGTTTTATAAAAACTCAAAATCTCCTGTGTTGAAATTGTTTAAACAAATTCGAGAATTTATTATCAAGCCTAGATCCTATTCAAAGTTTTAATTGGAAAGTGCAAAGAGAAAATTTTACACATCGAATGTCTATTTCATTTAGATGGCGAACAGTTTTACATATAGTCTTTTTAAATATGCACTGAAAAGAAAAAAGGTTGATTCTTTGTTGAAATTAAAATCTGAAAAAGGTAAGAAAGGCCTGAAAATTAACATAACGAACTTGCAAAAATATTTCCATAATAAAAACTTTTTTGTTTGTTGTAGAAACCCAAAACTTACTGATGGGCAGTACGCAATGACTTCGACGATAATCTTTGAAACATATTTTATTCCCATCTTTGTTTTACCCAATCTACATAATGGTCTGTATATATTCGTAAGCTAATTAATACAGAAGGTTATCATATGTAACAAAGTCTATGACAGGCTCTTCTGATGCAAAATAATCTAACTCTTGATATGTTTTTGTCGCTTTAGAATTAAAAACTAAATCAAACATTCCTCCTCGATATTTGGGATTATTATTTCATCCAGACTCAAACATTCATCGCAGAGAGTATTGTTATTTTTTCAGGACTTCAATTTGTTGGGGGCTACAGAATAACCAAACCAGGTAATATTTTATAACCCTTTGATAAATAATTCATTGAAAAATAATTTGGCTTAAAGATTTATTGAATTTAGCGGGTTTCAGAGTATAGCAAATTTTATTTATAAATAAAAAAAAAAAGAATTGAGGATTTGCAGTATATTTATAATTTTTATTATATATCAGATTTCAGATACTATCATATTACCTCATGATATATCAGGAAATCAGAGTATGGTTAATTTTCTTTTTAAATAAAACAATGACGATTTTAAGTATATTTTATAATAATATGTGTACATGTAATATTAATTATAATATATTATATAATATGCCCCTGGGGATTGGTTGGGGAAACAGTAGAGGTTCAATCTTTTATGTAGTAATATAAGAAGAAAAAAATTCAATATTTTCAAGAATAGCTGGACCAAACTTCTCAATGTAAATGACGGAACCCTGTAATGAAGGTTCAAGGTTGTTCAAAGCATGACCTCAGGGACAAGCTTGGGTCACAATTAGAAACAAGTTTTAAATAGAAATAGATATCCTGAAGAATAAGAAGGCTAGATTTTTTATGTTAATATCAAGCCCTGTGATATACTGTAAATCAGAAATTCTGAAATTATAGATTTTAGTTTGGAGACAACTTATTTGTGATTGTTATGTCTTTCTTTCAACACCCACAGAAACAGTATTTCTTTGCTATATTGATATTATTAAGTAAGAATTATTGTTTCATTTTAGTGAGACAAAAGGATCTATCAATTCAAAGTCGCCAAAACTTCATTAAGGTTGAAGGTTTACATTTTTATCAAAGAAACTTTCATTTTAGTTTACTTGAGTGCTCAGTGGACAAATGATTTTGTTGTGTTTTCTGAACGCAAGACGTGGCTGGACGCGAGAGATGTCTGCAAGTCAATAGATAGCGTACCTCAGTACAACAAATGGAACCTTCTGAACTGGTATATAAAGACAAAGGCCATTAGGAATGGATGGTAAAAGCGCATCTTTACTACAGTAAAATAGTCTGTATTCAATTCGCTGGGTAGTGGTTTCTTTATCTAAAAGATAAACTCCTACGCCAATGGGTTTTTTCCCAAAAACATTCGAGAGAAAAATGTTCAAGAATTATTTTTTGAGTTCTTTGATGTATGAAGCACGACTTCGTTCAAAAAATAATGATATCATAAATTGTTTTCTTATCATTATTTACAGCGAAGTTTATGAGATATTACTAATTTTGGAAAAGGTGATATCTCTTCTGCACTTTTTATTAATTATATGATTTTTTTTTAAAAAAAAAAAAGCATACGTCAAACAATAGTACAAAAAGTTGAAAAATCATGTGTACGTGTATAATGTTAACAAAAAATGAAACAAAAGGTCCGTAAGCCTTGACGGTCACTTGAGTATCAAGAGTTTCTCCTGATGCGACGTTCTCAGCATCTTCTTGAACTGAAACTCTGGATAAATGCAACATGAGATTTGCAAATTGGTGAGGACTCTATAATTGTATTTTAAACTAAATTTGACGATTTCATTATTCCGTCTGCCTGTTCAATACATAGGGTTCGTAGTGGTAGTGACCGGTCAAAAGGGGATGCTTACTCCTCCTTTCACGAGGTCATGAATTTTACAATTTAAGAAAAGGGTTAAATGCTCATTGAAAGTATGAAAACGGATTTCCTTTCTCTAAAACTCTTTTAGAAGAGAGAACTTTGGAAGATATGATATATTTTCCATATAAATCCAATTTAGTCCCAACATTAGGGCCTGAATCATGTAAATAGTTTTCCTGCTAGGGGTCTATGAGAAAGGAAGATTTTCAAAGATTTGTAGTTTCAATACGCATCTCACTGTGGGGCTTGAACCTAAGATCAAGATGTTACGACTCTAATCATTTTGGTAGAGGTCTAATATTTCATATTACATGTGTTACATAATCATGTACACGGTTTTCTGCTAAAGTTCCATGTCATCAGAAGATTTTCAAAGATTTCAATGTATGTTCAAATTCGTTCCTTCCTAGGGTCTGAATCTTGGAGCTTGGGGACACGAATCCACAATATCGGTTAAGGGCTATTTGCTTATTGTAATTATGCCATAAATCTGCTTGGAATTCAGCAGTAAAGAAGTTTTTTTTAATATTTCAATGTACCTGTATGGTCAAGTTGACCCCACCCTTGGGTAATACCCTGGGGTAATGAATTTCAAAATTCTGGTAAAAGGTTAAGTACTCGCTCTAACCAGGCAAGCTGTTTTGACTGCCTAATGTCAACCAGTAATTTTTTTTCTTAGTCATAACCATGCAAAAAGTTTGATTGCTTGTTATCTAGAAGTAAAGATTGATTGATTGTATGTTGTTTTACGTCCATTAGAGAATTTTTCACTCATATAGAGAAGTCACCAGATACCGGTGAAGGTCTTCAAATTTAGACCTTTACTCGGCACTCAGGGCCATTGAGCAGTGAGGGTTCTTTATCGTGCCAACGCCCACGGTGACTACCGGGCCTCAGTTTTTAAGGTCTCAACCTGCACCTTTCACTTCTAAGTGCCGAGCGCTTGGCGAAGGAACAGTTGCTACCTATTTTTATCGATTTAGGTCAGTCGCAGCCGTGATTCGAACACACGACTTTCCGATCACGGAGCGAGCGCTCTACCGACTGAGCTACCTTGACGGCTCAAGTAGTAATGAAGAAGATTTTTAAAGACTGAATTTTGATGGTCTTGGCTAAACTAATCAGGAGTCATGAACTTCAAGTATTTTGTTTTCCTTCACCTTTTTATTCTATATTCCAAAATTGATTGAAACCGGTACAGCAGTTTCAGGAAGGAAGCTGAAAATTGCTTCCAGTTCAACGACCGACTGACGACGTACACAATTACGACGTACAACAACGGACTAAAACGCATAGAAATAGATCATCTGAGTCATTCAGATGACCTTATAGAACTACATTATATTTTAACACTTTACTGGTTCTTTTTTACGATATAGAATACCCACATGAAATTAAAATGGATCTCGATAATTTAATGAATAAAATATACACGTATATGTTCTAAAGTCCTTATACATTTTTTATTGTATAGTTATGACGAATGATTCAAGATAATATATGATTCTAAAATAAGAGGCAGTTTCTATCTTTTTTTTTAAAAAAAAAATGTTGCTTTCAAACCAAAAATGTAGCTTTGATATCTTAATTCAAAACAGAAAGATGATATGGGGAATGAATTAATGGGAGTCAGCTTATTACTTCAAATTCTGGTATTTTCTCTCAAAATTATAATTCTGCTAGTTTTTTTTTTCATTTTTGTGCCTATATAGGTTGCTAGAGTTTTATTGTACAGGTCAGGTACTGATGATGTGTGGTTAGGAATGATAAAACATCAGAACAGCGACGTATGGAATGAAGAAAGAAAATATATCTGCCAAGAAGTCACAATGAAAATTTCCGGACAAAATCAGCTTGAAAGACAGTGCGCTGTTTTGAACATGTCGTCTGTTTCCCCAAATGATAATCTTATGATATATGCCTCATCTTGTGATAAAAGTATCTTTGGTTTTGTATGTCTTGTGGCACAGGGAGAACTTCCAAAAGGTATTTGCTTTAATTGGTGTAGAATGATAGATTCAAAGAACATTATCCAGAAAAGCTTATTTACTTGACTGTATAAAGTGATGTTATTTATATTCAATGAAAATAATGAAGATTCAAGTCACCTTTTATGAAATACAATCTATACCCCTCTTTTGGAGAATTAACATTAAATATCTTATAATATGACTGCAATACCAATGATACAATATAAATTTCCATTGCAGGCGTGGAGTATTACCCCTTCTCAGAGGTAGAGGAGAAAGGCGATAGAAGACTTAAGTTGAATACCTCGTCAGATACAGAATGTGCAATCAGTTCTTTTTCCATTATCTACTGTTTTGCTGCCACGTATTTTCCGGAGGATAAATACTGTGTGGCTGAATGCACACCGATGGTCAATATTCCAGAGACAGTAACCCTTGTCAATTCTTCGACCAACTCCACGGTTCTTCTCCGTACTTTCAATAAAGGTAAACTACTTGACACTAAGGAATTGTAAACAAGTATATGTTTGTGTGACGTTTAACGTCCCTCTCGAGAATTTTTCATTCATATGGAGACGCCACCACTTGCTGGTGGAGAGCTGCAAATTTTGACCCATACTCGGCACTCAGGGCCATTGAGCAGTGAGGGATCTTTTTCGTGCCAGCACCTACTGCGACATGGGACCACGGTTTATAGGGTCTCATCCGAAGGACCGATCTCCACGTCCCACAGTGGGATTCGAACCCGCGACGTAAGGATCAACTCCTTACTCCGCAACTCTAGAGCAGACGCTCTAACCACTGCGCCACATGGGCGATGTACACAAGTATAATGTACGGTGTTAAATTATCTTTTCATGAAATATGAAGATAACGAATAATAATCAAGCTTAAAAGTCCAGTGAAACAATACAAATTTAGAGTAGAGCAAACACGAACCTATAAACAAAAGAGGTGGGATCAGGTGCCATGGAGGAGTATGCATCCCCTGCCGACCCGTCACACCCGCCGTGTGCCCCTTGTCATGATCGTGTGCTTCTTGTAATATCTGATGAAAATGTTCTTCAATGATAAGTAATATAGGGATTGCTATGCTAAAATTTCTATCGATCCTTTGTGCCAATCACTGAATATAAATTACTGATGGAACAATACAGTAAAACACGGTTATAGCGAAAACGCTTAATAACGAACTCACGCTTACAGAGAAAAGATTTCCAATCCCCATGGTTTAACAAATCACGTTTATAACGAACCAAAATTTAACGTCCCTGACCTTTCGCTATAAGCGTGTTTTACTGTAACAATATGTCGTTCGAGTTGACGTAATTATATTGCATATATTTTAGTTCTGATAAATTATACCGAGTCGACATTACCGCCCAGCACGGACCAGTTTCCATGTCCTTTAGAATCAACTGCAGAAACGTCTACAGTGGAAATACCCACGGGCGGTTCGACGACATCTTTGCAAAAACTAGACAGTACCTCATCATTGCCAGAACTTCCAGATGACACGACAACCTCCATGGGTCAGACGACAACTTCTGATGACGGTACGAAAACAGTTACACAAATACAAGATGAAACAACATTTACAGATCTCTCCAAGGGCACAATTACACAAATGTCACATTGTTCAACAATGGAAGTTTATTCTGGATGTCTTTGTACAAGTCAAACGGGTAATATTGAAACAAATGAGCTAAATCAGAAGGTCCTTGAGATTAAGAAAATACTTACTGTTAACATATCGTCCCTGTCATCGACAATGAGAAAGAAGATATCGGCACCAGACGACAGACAATCCTCGCTAGCCATGGGAACTCTGGGTATTTGTGTGATTGTTGGTGTTATCTTGGCCTTGGTCGTCGGTGATATGGTTTATATTGTCTCATGTGTAAAATATTTGTTCTGCTGCAAACGAAAGCATATTCATGTTCAGCATTTATAATTTGCAGGCTTTTTTTATTTAAAAAAAAAACTTTCTATAAGAAAATTCTGAAAGTATGATTTTCATGTACTATATTATAAATTAGTTTTCAAAAATATACATGATCTTTATTTTAGCACCAACGTAATAAATTCTTTAAAAAGTTAGAGGATGTTTTGATCCAATTAATAAAAGAGGGCATTAACATTAATGTCTTCTAAAAAAAATCATAATAGATTTGTACTTGAAAAAGTGATTTGTCAAGAAAACGTTCCATCTCAAACTTCAAATCCAAGGAAACCACGGAGGAGGCGTATTCCAGTGGACAATAAATTCTACATTAGCTGAAAAGAAAGTAAAAAGGAACAAAGCAAAACCAAGAAGGAAAAAAGCCAAGTTCCTATACACCTAAATGGAAATATCTCGTTAAGAATACATCAAGTACATAACTTCTGCTGGGGACTTAACTTTACAGTGTCGGTTCTTGGTTCTCATGTGGTTCAATATGCAAACATTCCAATATTTGCATATTTTTGAAAGTATTGCATATTAAGCAATGCAAAATTCTGCCAGTCATTTTGAGGCAAGCATAGTTTTCTACATATAATACGTCATCAAAGTAAATCATATTCTTCTTGCCCGCCCTCAACTAAGGATATTGTTCATCGACTCAATAATATTTAATATATGAATACAATGTAGAAATAGCTTAACACTGCACAATACAGTAACTGTAGTTTCATCAATTTTCGTGGTTTTGGCAATAACACTAACAATTTTGTTAATGTCAATTCGTGGACAGCTATTTCGTCGTATTCTATAATTAGTAAATGTTAGGACACTAGTACTGATCATGTAATTTCATGGTCTGACACACCACGAAAAACAACAAAAGTTGGTATTCATACTAGACATAACAGAAAAATGATAAAACCACCTTATAATGTGCCCCAACCTCGATTCATGTTCGTATCTAAAACACTAGAAATACTGTGGTTACATGGGTTATAGAGAGTAAAGGTTTTTACAGACAAATATCTTCTTTTTACAATGCTTTATACATGTACATGTCCTGTTTTTGCATGACCATGTCCCGAGGTCAAATATCAAAATTTCAGAACTTCGTTGCTGTTGGCCGCGTAAAATAAAAATCAGTTCCACTCACAAAGACTGCCTTGTTAGTTTTTACAGTTTGAAACCGATTCAAGGACAAATATCAAAAGTTATTGTCACAGTAGTTACTAAATTCAAAAACTGTTTGGTTTCTTTATTTCTAATTTATAAACGAACACATCTTGATAGTTCATTCATGTTGATTGCATAAGCCATAACAGGCTTATGGTTATCAAAAACTTACTTCAATGTCATTTCTCACGGATTAAGGTACAACCGAGTTTAATTCTTGCTGGCTTAAATTGTCGAAGTGAATTTCACAAAATGACAGTTCTTTAATAATAAATGGGGTACCTTAAAAGTGCTAAACGAAATCGAAACGAAATGAAACCTAACTTTACAGGTATCCTAATAAATGATACGCTTTTCTCTCTTTCTGTTTTATTGGTTGTAGTAAAGGTGGTGGTATTATCCCTCATTCTTTCAGCAACAAACTTTCTAGTTATAATTTCCTTGTTCTTTTTAGCATTTATTTATGTTTGCATCTACTGTATACAAATATAAATTCGAATAAATTCATTCTTGCATAATTAAATATCATTTTACTTCCTGTCTTATGATTTTTGACACACAAAAATAGTGGAGCTCCTTGTCGAAATCGATACATTTGATTTAGTGTCTTCTATATAAATGATTTGCTTTCATTTACTGAACCCAACTTTAGTACAACTGCAAAAATGGTTTCCAGACCATAAATATGTTCAAAGGACACAAATTCCCATACAAAGTTCAATTATATTAAAACATTTAAAAAAAATGCAAAATTAGGAATAGTAAGGTCAAGGTCATCAGGAAACTGAGCTAAATGCAAAATATGGAATAGTGAGTTCAAGGTCACAAGGAAGGTTGAAGTCAGAAAATTATGTCATAATTGAATAGCTTTCACAAATATGTATCATTGTATGAATTTTAGTTAAATAATATACATGTACTTTGAAACTGAGCTCAACACAAAATGTGAAGAATAAGGACGGAAGACCTAAATGACAAACACTACATGTACATGACCCAACCATATTCATAGCAGGGCATAAAAAGGTCAACTTAAAATCAGTATAACAATTTTTTATTATTACAGAACCAATCAGAAATAGATAACAAAATGCACTATGTCCTGGCGGCATTTTTTTCATAAGGTCATTGATATCTGATAAGAATATGTGGATATAAAACATGTTTATTAACATTTTTCCGCAATTGTTTTCTAAACAAATTACAAACATTGTGAAACACAACTTAAACAAGAATATGAAAACTTTAAACATCCCACTGAAACAATTAAAAGGAAATGTATGTTGTAATGGCAGTTACAATTAAATCCAGTTCTTAAAACAATATATCCATATAGTATACATCAAAAGAGTAGAAAAAGAAAAGAACAGTTGTTCTAAAATTATTAACAATGGAATATTTAACTCACATAGGAATTCGTAACTATTAAATACAAATTAGAAACAATAGTGAAAAATGTGTAGGGGATAAGAAAATGTACTTGAAAGCATGGTTTGAAATTGTTGAACTGACATGCTTTAGATCAATATATTATTGTTGAATACTTTAAGAATCCATCATATTCAACTGTAACAATTTATCCAAGAAGTTTAAACTGAAAAAAATAATCCATGTTGTTCATTATCAGATCTACGCAGGTTTTATCTCAGCTTATCCCTAAAACAATCTTTTTATTCACTGGTCCTGATCCAGACCAAATTTTATGAAGAGATCAACCAATACCTCTAAGTCTTCCTTCATCAGAAAATCATATGACCTAGTGTACACAAAGGCTGGTCTTTTTCCATCACTGTGTGTGTATTTTCCCTCCATTATATTCTGATACTGTGTTTCTGTCATCCTTAGCTCTGTTATTGTTACCTGCAAGTTATTGGAGCACTTACAAAATACAGTCAAACCTCGTTATCTCGAACTCGATGGGACCGAGATAAAACTTTGAGATATCCCAGGGTTCGAGATATCGAGGGTAAAATACTTAAGAAATACGTGGTTAGGACTTCTTAATCACTTCGACATATCAATGGATTCGTCTATTCGAGATATCCGTGTTCGAGATACCGAAGTTCAACTGTAGATGTGGAAATCATAAGCATACATGAATACATCTATTTTCAAATAATATAAGATTTTTAGAGGGACAAATCTGAAGAAAGTTCTACTAACAATTAATAAGTAGCAAAATACTGAAATATATAATATACTAATCTTTAAGTGAAATGGAAAACTTTCAAAATAATGGTAGATAGTTTGACTTTAGATTGAGGACTGGGGGGTGGGGTGGGTGGGGTGGGGGGTTCTCGCACTTTTTCTGAGTATAAAGTCGTAAATTTTCTTTTAGATGCTGGTTGCCCCCCCCCCCCTTTATTTGTTGCTTTAAGGTCGAGCACTGGCAAATTCCAGAAATTGGACAGTTCATTAGTTTTGTTTTTTTGTTTTGTTTGTAAGATTATTTTGGGAAGTCCCCCCCCCCCTTTTGAAACACTTTGCTACAGGCCTGTGAGATACTACTTCTAAGGTTTAGGAATATACTGAAAACTGCAAGGCAAATGCTCTGTGTCCATAAAATGAAGACATGGTACATAATCTGAACAAGTAAATGGAGTTTTGATATCCATTGATGATTTCTTTCAGAAATAGTTTGCTGTTTAAGTGTTCTCTTTCAAAAATAGTTAATTGTCATAAAAATAAAACCTACCGTAAATGTACCGGGTAAGAGAAATTTTATGGAAGGCATGCATTTTAAAAGTTTTTTGTATTCTATGCCTGGCTTTAGCATGCAACATTATATCCCAATCTTACATTCAGAGTAGAAAATTCATACTCAGAAATGATTTCTTCTGGGAGGTATGCATTCTAAAATGATTTTTATTCTATGCCTGACTGAGCATGAAATGTTATATCCTTATCTGACATTCACATCAGAAAATTCATACTCAGATATGATTCATATCATTAAATGTTTGGGTAAAACGCATTGGTTATAAAATGGTTATAAATGTAATACATGTAAGTATAATCTAGGAGTTACTGGGATATCCCTTATACTTACTTGAGTTTGTTGAACAACAATGCCGTTTATGAAATTGTGTCCAAATGACTGAGTATAGCTTAATAAGAGCTTTCCACAATGTTGTCCAATCAGAGCTGGAGATAAGTGAACAGGTCTTCCAGAACTCTGTTCTAAATTATGTGCTGTTGATGATATATCAGACAGGTTTTTCATTTCTGAATCAGCTGAAATTCCTGTTGTTTTGACAGTATCTTGTGATGCAGTATTGCTCACTACCACAGGTTTTTCTTTCATCACCTACAAAAATTTCAGAAATTGATAATCAGATGTAATTCAGGGCAAACCATCTAAAACAATGGATTTTTTGGGGGGAGGGGGGGGGGGTGCATATATTATGTACAGATAATGAGATTCATGAGATGCCAACAAATTAACACAGGCAGCTACTGAACCAATCAGAATAAGAAGTTCAGCATTAATAATTACACAAGTTACCTCACACACTGCCACTATACAAGGTTTTTCCAACTTCCTATCCACGTAGTCAATCTTGTGGTGAGCATAAAGCATGTCTGGTTTACCCTTCACCTCAAAATGCCCAATCTTCAGTGTCTGTTCAGGGAGACCAGGCCCCACACTACAGTAAAGAAGTTAAATATATACCTGTTAGTTGCACTACAGTAGGTTGCATAAAATATCACTTATATCAATTGAATCTGCTAGAATATTCTTCTTTTTTTTTTCAAGATAAAAGCTAGCTTTCACCTTATTCCACTCTGCAATCCAAACATCTTGAGTAATGTGTCAAACAAATGCTGATAATGGCACTGCAAGTTTGGAATACCTTGAATTTTATTTTCTATCATTCTTGACAAAACACATATGAAATTTTTCCCATACACATCAAACCTACAATAAAAAGAAAACAAATGTTATTTCTTTATCATGAATGCATTTTAAGATGTTTAAACTCAAAGAGAAGATACATATTTATAAATCAAAGTGACTTTATTTACACCATTAATTATGGTTTGTGTCAAATTCTTATAACATGCTTTGCACTAATCGGGTTACCCTCTTTAAATAAAGTATTATCATTATTATTATTATTATTATTTATGCTTGATGTGTATATTACATGTATATGTAAGAACATTCTTGGAACATTGTTGTCCTTAGGTAAGTAACATTTTTGCAAAGGTAATACTCTTCCTGAAGTTTTTTTCATAGAGAGCAGCCTGTGACATGAAGTGCTGCTCACTTAGTTACATATATGTAGCTACTCTACGTCTATATCAGAGGAAATTTGAGTAGAAATCTCTTGTCACACTGTTTAAGAAAATTTTTACAAGTCCACTTGAAAAAATGTCTAACATTGTGTAAAACTCCCAACCTTTTCTAAATCTTTTCTCAATATGGTGGCCAAATTAATCATCGATTTGATGCATATTCCTCCTAGCCTGTTTCCCCTGGACTACCCATAATGCTCCGCAAACATCTGAGGTTTGTATGGAGCTTAGCGGAGTCAGCCAAGGATTGCCGATTGACAAAATAGTGAGACTGTTGTCTTAGCATAATGGAAGTGCAAATGGCAGATCTAATAAATGAGAGATGTAGATTGTATTATTGAGAAATCTACCTACACTCTTCCTACCTGTATAAGATTTCACCTGTTCAGCATCCAACACATTACTTACCTTTGAAACCATGCATCAGAATCTTCAGGTAGGCCTTTCGGAATAAAACAATGTTCATTAAAAGATTTCAGTTTCATGAGGGAATCGATATTCAATTCCTTAAAAGATGAATAGTTCAAGTTCTGGATCATATCAATGAATGCACTTCTTTTTACATAATCTGCCAATAGTGTAATCTTTCTTATCTGTGCCTTCCGACGATTATTAATTTTTTCGACATCATATGCACTGATACGAAAGCACAACCCTTCCATCTGCAAAGGACTAGTTATTAAATGCAATGGCTTAAACAGAGGTTGAAACAACACATCAATATGAAGACCATTTATATGATCTCTTGTCCAGTCAGACACTGTTTCTGGCAAAGAAAACTGCGACAGTTTGCTCTGACAGGTAATAGATAACTGTTCGTTTGAATCCAAACTCTCTGAATTAGATAAGTTTTGTTGCATATCGTTCGAACGATCTTCAAACTTTTGTCTATCAGCATCTGAAAAATCAGTCTTTGCTCGTTTTGGTGCTCCAGCCATACTGCTATTTTGTAAACAATAACATCTCGCGCGAAAACGAGATTTGTCATGTGTAATTGCAAAATACTTCACGGTTAGACTAATATTTTCCCGGATAGATCACAGGCACCCCCCCCCCCCCTTCCTGAGAATTTTTTTTAGACAGGATAACTTAGCAAATATGCACGAATTCCTAGCCTATCATACAAATATTTCGATATTTGATAATATATCATTTTCCGTTTTTGTCAAGTTTTAGAGATTGCCATTTTACGGTATATAAAATTGAATATTTGAAAGATGAAAATTTGCTAAAAGCTGATCTTAGAATAAAGATTGCATGAAATGTGAACATTTTTAATTTTTACATCAATGTAAGCCCTTTCCGGATTTTAATTTCGGTATGAGAAAGAAAAGGAAGAAGAGCTTTCCTTTTGCATGCACCAAAATAATCATCACTATGATCACATCTCAGAAAAAGAAAACGGGATATGACCTTTTCTCATTTTTTAAGAGATGGAGATTCATTCAACACAGTTCACAGAAATGTTCAATTTATAGTTTCACTGCCAAGCATTGATGCTTTAGAACCACTAGGGTATCATTTCAGCTTTAAGTTTTGGCGATATGTGTACACGAAACTGGAATTTTTTCTTGACACTTTAATGAGTATTATTCAAAACTTTTGGTTTTGAACGAGAGAAATTACTGACTTCAGAGTACGCAGTACTTAAAATAAGTTTAAAATTGGCTGGAAAAAAAATATTGGTTAAACAGTGAATTTATCTGTAGTTTCTAAGAAGATCGACCATTATGGCGTGTAAAACGTTGCATTATTATACTTTTTCTATTCTTATTCTAAACATTCCATTCCTATTTGATAAAATGTGATTCCTATTATAGATAAATTGTTATTCTTATGCGAAAAACTGTAATTTCTACTCGATAATTTATCATTCCTATTCAAGAAGTCGTTATTCATATTCGAAAACATGTGATTCCTTTTCGATAATTTGTTACCCTATTCAAAAACATGTGATTCCTATTCAATAATTTTGTCATTCCTATTCAATAATTTTGTCATATTCGATGATTAAAAGATTTATATTCGATAAAGATATTATTCCTATTGAAAAACATGTTATTCCTATTCGAAAACATACAATTCCTATGATCAATTTATCGAATAAGAATAACAAGATTATTGAATGGGAATGATGTCTAGATGTTTATTTTCAATGCATACTAAGTCTCTCTATACCTTTAGAATTTTAAAGTCTACACAACTTAACTTGCAGACGTTTGATTTATTCATTGTTAAAAATTATCCAAGTGAACATGGCGAAAAATAGATGATAAACATTTTTTTATGCTAATATGCAAGGACTGGCTCATTTATAACAAAATTTAATATGAAAAAAATTCATACACATGTAATTATCCAAACTGTTCACCAATTATTGTTTAGATTTTTATGTTGTAACTTTTTTTTTCTTTTGAAATCACCGCTCTATATATCCAGGAACAGGCCCGTTGGAAGAAAATTCACGGGGAGAGGGGAGGGGGGCATAAAAAATTCTTAGTTAAGGTGGGCACTATGAAGGGAAAATTAATCATCAAGCAAAAAAGTTATCAGACATTATAATTTACATGATTTATGGGACACAAGCATAAAGCAGCTATGTTTTGTATAGTACATGTATATTCATATATCGTCAATTTCAATTAAAGGGAGGGGGGGGCAGAGTCTCCCTCCTCTCCCCGGTTCCTACGGCCATGAAAAAAATACAAGTAAAACAGTGTAAGTTCCTGTCCGAGTCTTTTTTTATTTTGATGCAACTGGATTGAACTTTTATAAATAAATTATTTCTGGACTCAAAGTTATGTTGATTATGCTGTCCAGCGTCAACTTTTCTTAATTCTTCACATAATAATAAATTTGCTCACGTCACGCAAGCTTTTTGAGAAAGCTAATACTTGTATGTTTTCGAATAGGAATAGGAAATAGGAAGTTTTCCATTTTCCAGTATACAATACAAATGGAAACTTATAGAATACAAATGGAAAATTATACAGAACAAATGAAAAATTATACAATACAAATGAAAAATTTTAGAACAAATGGAAAATTAAAGAATACAAATAAAAATTATACAATACAAATGAAAAATTATAGTTCTAATACAAATGAAAAATTATAGAATACAAATAAAAATTATACAATATAAATGAAATATTATACAATGCAAATGGAAAATTATACAATGCAAATTATAGAAAATTATAAAATATGAATGAAAAATTATACAATACAAATGGAAAAGATCTAATATTGCAACGTTTGACATGCCATATTACACGCCATAGACCATCTACTTACGACTTCTTTTTTTTTCAGATGATGAAAATAAAATTCAATCGGATCTAGTTAAGCAATACGGATAAATTTTTGACAAAAATTTTTCAAACGTAAATAATTTTTTAGTTACTCCCCTTAGCAGAGAGCCATTCCCCATTAATACTGGAGCATCGAAATAACGTATTTCATTGATCTCCAGAGCCATGGATAATTAAACACAATGAAAAGATCACCTCGTTAGGTATACATCAATTTAGAAACAATAACAACGATGCTTTTCTTTGAGCCTTTTTGATTTGACATAACCTCTACTTTTAACAATCGATTGACTAATACCGAACATACACAATCATAAAGGACTTCAATGATAAATCCATACCAGTTAGCATCATTCATCACCGGAGCGTCAGTATTTTGAAATTTACATCCGAATTCAGATTTATTTCTCTTTTTTCACGACAAGTTTGACCCGAACATTCGCTGCAGATTCTACATGAACCGTATGAATCTTAAAGGAAATAAAACTGACGGAGGCTTGTCATTCGGAAGGAGGATGCTTTGGTCCCCTCGGACTATCATTCGACTTTTTATTATGATGATTGGTATGTCTAACATATAAATATTTTCAAGGAGTGAAAAAAGTTGCATTTATATTGTTTGTGAATTTGCGCATAATTTTGACGAGATTGTATAAATGGTTGGCGCAATACGTAGTTAAAATTAGCTCTCTCAAGAATTTTCCATTAAATTTAACACACAGATCTCTCTCTCTCTCTCTCTCTCTCTCTCTGATTATTTAAGATATGTCGAAGTAGCCACGCTGCATTCTAATTAAATTAATTTCAATTTTTGGTCATGGGACCCCGTATTTTTATTTTTTTTTTTAATTTCAGATGCACTATAACTTCAAAAGACGAAGTTTAAAAATTCGCGGATGCGAAGAATTTTTGGTTCTCAAAAACGGAGGCAAAATTAGGGACCTTAATCAAATTAATCTCTCTCTCTCTCACTCTCTTTCATTTATTTACGAATTTCCCATTATCGTTTTAGGACTGAATAGCAATTCCTGTAGCAATGTCCGGGAAATCAAGCCTGGTATGCATGTGTCCTTTAATTTACAAACAATTTTCTTATGAAAAACAGCTAGGCTTGGAATAATCTGTGTAAATTGTAATGAACATGCTTTTTTCATTGTAATTCAAGTTTATTTTGGAGAACTATGGTTAAAAGACATTTTCTTGTTTCCTGGTCGGCGCACTTGGTTGGAAGCGAGGGATGTCTGTTGGAGTTTAGGAGGAATCGTGTTAGCCCCATCATGGAAGAAATATATCTGGTACATGAGAACAAAAGCCGTGAGAAGAAATTGGTAAGAACTCTGAGGTGTGCCTGGTTGCTATTTAGATCCAAAAGATTTTTGTAATATATATTCGAAACTGCGTTGTTATTATTCTGTAGTGAATTGTACATATAATGTACATGAGAAATTAAACATATTTTTTTGCATTAGTTAGCGATGGAAATCTCTATAATGTGGTGTAGCTGTAGGGCCTGTAATCTAGATGAGAGAGATAGAAAGAATATGATTTTATTTCATTTTCATTTCCAGGTGTTGATAGCAGATACGGTTCGTGAAAATTAAAAAAAAACTAAATATGTCGTTAACACCACGAATGCCCCCGTAAGCAGCCAAAATCTCAAATACAATATTTAGTTTTAAATTTGTATATTCAAACTTGACCCGTACTTTCTGGTTAAATACTTGCATATGCAATTTCAACCTTTTACATACATAACTACAGAAGATAGGGAGCAGAAACTAAAAATTTCTTATTTTTTCAAAGTTCAAGAGGAATAACTCTGTCATAAATCATCGGACTATGACCAAATTTGAACTTGACCTGTATTTTCTAGTAAAATACCCGCACATGCAATTTCAACCTTATACATACATCCCTACAAAAGTTAGAAAGCGGAAACCGAAAATTTCTTATTTTTTTCTAAGTTCAAGAGGGATATCTCTGTCAAAAATCATCGGACCATGACCAAATTCGAATTTGACCTGTATTTTCTGATAAAATACCTGCATATGCGATTTCAATCTTTTACATACATCCGTATAAAAGTTAAAGAACGGAAACTGAAAATTTCTTATTTTTTTCAAAGTTCAAGAGGGATAACTCTGTCAAAAATCATTGGACTATGACCAAATTCAAACTTAACATGTTTTTTTCTGGAAAAATACCTGCATATGGAATTTCAACCTTATACACACATCCCTACAAAAGTTAGAGAGCAGAAACTGAAAATTTTTTTCAAAGTTCAAGAGGGATAACTCAAAAATCATCGGACCATGACCAAATTCGAACTTGACCTGTATTTTCTGGTAAAATACCTGCATATGCAATTTCAACCTTATAATACATCCCTACAAAGGTTAGAGAGCGGAAACTGAAAATTTCCCGGTGCCTACAGCCATGTGCTAGACAAGGTTTGTGAAAATTGATGTTGATTGAGAAAATCAATGAAGAAGAGAAAAAAATCAAACTCAAAATCGATCCCCATTATATTCAGCAATAAGAAAATAAACATAAGTATAAAAAAAATAGGTAGGGGTGGGTTTGGGTCAAAAACTATTTTTCAACCTAAATAGTTTAGTACGTTAATTATGCCCCCCTTCGAAAAACGA